GGTTGGTGGGGGGGGGGAGGGGAGGATAGGAAGGATTGAGTTCCACCAGTGCCCCCGCCTCTTCCCAACCACAGGCAGCTCACTGTGGGAGGACATACCCTCTTCTGCAGAGATCTGCTGGCTGCGTGCTCCCAGGGACCTGCATGAGCGAACCTGGAGGCACGTCGCTTCCCACTGTCGTTGGATCAGCTTATCCTTGTTTGTGTGAACAAGATGCGTAACTAATTCTGCATGGTGACAGTGTTAGGGGCAATGTAGCGGAGGCCTTGCTGCCCTTTAGTAAAGGCAACTACCACCTGTGGCTGAAATCTCTCTAGCTGCCATCTGACTTCCTTATGGTGTGGCTCATCTCTCTTCACAGGAGAGCTCTGTCTGGGAGGATAAAGATGCTATAGCAGCATGACTTCCTAGGAATCCAGGCTGTCAGTGTTTGGGGGGTGAAAGTCTTTGCGAGGTCTCTGACTTGCCAACCACCTTTAGCTTTGTAGGGAGTTGTCTTGCAAGATGAGGCATGCACTAGGCCACCAGGTGAGATTGCATGAGGTTTTTCTCTTGACTCTGTCAAGTCTTTAGCAATGTCATTGCCCTTCTTTGACGGGATGTCCAATTCCCTTCCATTCCTTGAGGTATTGGAGGTCCCCTTACAAATTGCTCCTCCCAACCCATCTGGGCAATGACTAAGAGATTTGGGGCTCTACTCTTGTACTCAGGTAACCTAGGCAGAGCTTCTAGGCTTGAGATTTCAGACTGTCCCAAAATGCCTCAGCCCAAAGGATGGACTGATTTCTCCTGTTCTTCCACCAGACATCATTCAAATGAAAAATCTTTTATGTTGCATCAACACCTTCTTAGGTGAACAGAACAGGAGCTCCTATGCTTGTCATGTCTGGACACTTTTGCTGGCTCTTGGGGGTTGAAGCTCCTCAGTCTATGAAGGAACAAGTGCAGAATTGTTCTGTGGCAGACATGTGCATCCATGCCTCGTTTTTGGTGCCAGGTGGGTTTCTCTTCATCTGCATAGAACCATTTATCTCCTCTGGGGGCAAGTCACTCCCCTCCTGAAAGGCTCTAATTGGGCAAAACATGGGCCAGGGCCATTACTGTTAACTGAGCTCATCTCTTGCAAAAGAAAAAAGAAAAAAGAAACCACTAGTCCCAAAAATAATAAATACAAAAAATCTGAATTTGCATGAAAATGGGGGGTGGAGGGTGGGAGAGCGGAGGGAGAGAGAGAGAGAAATGGACAGATAGACAGAGACAATTTTCTTTTTATTTTCTGACTTACAACCCTCCACCTCCCACCTCTCGTGTTTGTTTGACATGATAAAAGCCAGAGTTTACCTTGATGGTCACAAGTTGGTTGGAAGGGGGAAGGGCGAGAGTTTGCAGCCTCAGTGATCCAGTGCCCATGACTGAGTTGCAGTAAATCAGGACAAGCTGAGCTGAAAAAAAATGGCTGTGGCTGTCCAGCCGTTTTTTCTCCCCTGGTGCCGCTTCACGCCACTTCTGACTTTGATTAATAGGCATCTGAATAAAATGTTAATCTAACTGGGGTTCTTTGGCCCCCCTCCTCTGCTGCCCTCCATGCCTTGCTCCAGGAATATCAGAGAAAACACACAGAGGTTTTGTCTCCCTGCAGAGCACTTGTAGCTTTTGATTAATGGGTGGAAGGGCCCAGCTCCAGCTTCGTGGCATCTCTCCCGACTGCAGAAAAATAAGCAAAAAGTCACCAAACATGACGTGGAGGAAAAAAAAACCATCCCAGGAGCTACAGGGAGAAGAAAGAAGAGAGAGTAGCTTACCACTGGAGATCAGCTCCAGAAAAGCCACAGACCCCAACCTAGCTGACTTCCTGGGAGCTCACCAAGCTGGATGTGAACTTCCATCTCCCTTCAGTGGCTGATTCCTTGCTTTATCATAAGCATGGGCCAGAAACTTCAGACCACAGCGGTTTGGGAAGGGCTTGGTATCTACAACCCAGGTCCAGATCTAAATTATTCCCCTCCAGCCCCTTTTCAGTATCACCCAATGCCCACAGTGGTACTATGCTCATGGCAGGAGGCCCAATAAATGAAGACCTTATCATGCAAACAGGACATGCTGCCAACTCACCTTTCATCCCCAAAGTTTTTATCCTCTGAATCAAACTTCACTGGGAGCTTCTGATATGAGACCCTAAAATGCTGATTGCTTCTGGCCAGTATTGGACTTAGAAATCCTGTTCCTGGAGAAGCCAGATCCACCAGAAGATCCATCCAGATGGACTGTAGTAGGACTACGCTTGGTGCGTGTGTGGAGTGGGGGGAGCTGCTGATATGTAGGCACACCTTTATAGAGATGCTAACCTGGATTAAAGTTAAGGTACAAATTAAAGCAGAATAGCTGAGCTATTAAAGTGGTTTTATTCCAGAATAAGAGCATTCACCCAGGGAGTCAATTGGACATAGTTATTTTGGAGTAACAGCCTGTGTAGACAAATCCTAAGAGATGGCTCATAAGATGGTGGGGGAAGTGGGAGATTCTGGCTTGTGTGTCCGACCATATTTCCTTCTCCTCTTTGAATCATTTCTGTGCCATAACCAGGTCCGAGCCCCAAGCTCTGCTGTTGGGAAGGAATTAGTGCCTGGAACGAATCGCAACGACTGGGTAGTTCACTTTCTCCAGCTGCCTCATGGGGACTGAAGTTGCCTGGTGTGTGCGCCATGAAAGGTGCGGTTGCCTACAGCTGCCTGCTGTGCAGACCCTCTCTGCCATGAGTGGTGAAAGCCTCACATCTTGTAAAAATAAGAGAAGTGAATACAACTTTGATCTTCCTCAAATATTTTGACCCTGGATTTTTAGTCATGCTCTGTAAAGCATTTTAATAGCAATTTGAGCAGTGGCAAACTCTTGGGCCAAGGTGAATTTCAGCATCTCTCCGAGGCAGAGGTGGCAAGTCATCATTTAACAACAAAACAATTGCCCTACCA